AAAAAATTACAATTTTAAAACCATATGACTTTAGCAAATTAACGTCGGCCAATAACTACAGCCGTGTTTTCCTTTAACCAGTCCTCTGCAAACCGTGCAGAACACCATGAAGATTAATTAAAAAAAACGAAAATTCTATCATGAATATTGAAAACTTATATTTGTAATTTTATAATTATAGTATATTATCATATAATTAATTTTTTTACTCATAAATTTATTTATATATTTAACAATTTAATTACATATTATAATTATAAATTTATAATTTTACATAATATTATAATTTTTAATTTTCAAACAAAATTAAACCTAAGTAATTTCATTTTTATTTACAATAAAAAAAATAAACACAAAACAGAACTACATAGGATAGCCAAGTTTCATTGCCTTTCGGCATAGAATGAGCCTTCCTCCATCTTCTTCATGTTTTCCCCTTTTTTTTTTTTTCAAAAAATAAAATCAGTTTTTCATCTCCACTTTCTCCTTTGTTTTTTTCCTTTTGGGAAATAGAAAAAGCCCAAATTATCTTTAAAAAAAAAAAAAGAGAGAAAAAAATTATTATTAATTTACAATTTTGCTACTGTACCCATAATAAGATAAATACCACCTAACAAATTTCTTCAACCCGGTTTGCAAATCGGTTGTGGGTTTGTACCCGAATTCTCTCTGGGCGTAGCTAATATTCGCATGGGTGAAAGGAACGTCGCCATTCCCGGGCATGTCCACGATATTCCTCTTTGCTTTCACCTTCAAATGCCTCTCCAGTATGTTTACCAGTTCCGGCACGGTGACCGGCGACGTATTACCCAAATTAAAAATCCGGTACTGTGCGGGTCCCCGCTTCTTTCCGCCCGACCCGGTACTTCTCTTGGCCGTGTCCAACGACCCCAAACACCCTTTCACGATATCGTCAATATAGGTGAAATCTCGGGCCAAATCCACCTGGTTCTTGCCTCGGTACACCGTGATGGACTTCCCTTGCAATATGTTTCTCGTGAACGAGAAATACGCCATATCGGGCCGCCCCCACGGGCCGTAGACGGTGAAAAACCTCAACCCAGTAATCGACAGGCCGTAAATGTGATTATAAGTGTGAGTAATTTCCTCACCTGCCTTTTTCGTCGCCGCGTACAAGCTCGCTGGTTGGTCCGTCCGGTCGGATTCGGAGAACGGAACCTTCTCGTTCAAGCCGTAGACGGAGCTAGATGAGGCCCAGACGATAGCCGGTTGTGGGTTAGCCGACTTGCAAACTTCTAGAAGCGTGACAAGTCCGGCGATGTTGCTCTGAACGTAGGACTGAGGATTCTCCATGGCGTACCGGACGCCGGCTTGGGCCGCTAAGTGCATCACGTGGGTGAAAGCCACCGCATCGAAAAGCTTAGCCAACAGCCTGCCGTCGTTAACGTCGCCTTCAACGACCAAGATGCCGTGGTTGTTGAGGAGTGATTTTCTCGCTCTCTTCAACGAAGGGTCGTAATAGCTGTTAAAATTGTCAATCCCAACGACCCCGTCTCCGCGTTTCTTTAGAGCAAGCGACACGTGTGTACCCACAAAACCCGCCGCTCCGGTAACCAATACAGCCATCCCACCGGACCGATGGATCTGGGCAGAGTTCCGCACCTGTTTCTCCCATTGGATTCCACCCCACGAAGCAGAAAAGTACCGGCTACCGGAATCCACGAAGCTCTGAAAGCTCAGGTACGACGCCGTCAACGCAATCAAGAACAACGCCCACAAGAACATGGTGCTGGTGGAGGCGAAACACCGATGAAACTGGCGGTTCATCGTGTGGCCCCTTTCCATCTTAAACTTACCCGGCGTAGAAGGAAATAACTCATCCTCTAACAACTGTGGCATTTTCTTCATAAATCAAAATCTGACTTTCGTATATTCTTGCTGGATCTCTAAATAGGCAAAATGAAATTGAAGACGAATTAATTACCCAATTTGCAGGGGACGGTTTGATTTAAGGCAAAAAGGGAATATGTATTCTATTTTCTTTGTAAAAACAGATTCACAGAAAATAAAGGAGCAAGTTTATTTTTCTGCACCTGCCATTAGAGGGGGAAGATGATATAGGGTTATATAGAGTGGTAACCCACAATGAAGCGACAACTACACGCGTGAGCACATTAATGGACGACCCTTGGAAGATGGATATCTATTGAGCACAGCAGAAAAATAAACACACTAACAGCAACCCTACCGATCTAGTAATTAGTAATTTTAAATTTTTTATTTCACAGTGAGCTTAAAAATTTTAAATTTTTATAAAGGGATGAGAAAAATTAGTAGATTTTAATAATTAAAATGTCAAAATTAAAAACAAAATAAATAAAATATTTTTAATAAATTAATGTATAAATTTTTAAAAATATATATATAAATAAAAAACCACTAACAATAGTAGAACAACATAACTAAAAAGTTAAATCTCTAATTTGATTTTTGAATTATTATACAGACTTTTGATTTGATCTCTAAACTAAAAAAATCTTTAATTTGGTCCCTGAACTATGGTATAAATCTCCAATTTGATCCTTACTGTTTACCAATTTGCCTCAAGTTGATCATTCTTTACAAAAACAGCTAACATATCTCGTTATTAACATGACATGTGACCATTAAGTTATTATTTTTTACCATTAAGTTACTGTTTTCTCCGTTAAATACTAGACACGTCCGCTTTTTTTCTTTTTTTTTTGTATAAAATGACTAATTTGAGGTAAATTGGTAAATAGTAAGGATCAAATTGGAGTCCGTACAATAGTTTAGAAACCAAATCAAGGATTTTTTTAGTTTAGGGACCAGATCAAAAATTTATAAAATAATTCAGGGGTCAAATTGAAGATTTAACCTAACCAAAATATTGTTAGAGTGAAAATTTTGGTTGTGAATCTTGTGATACATT